ACACATTTAAGTAAGTACCTGCAAAAGTTGGAATTTGAATCCAGGAATCTGTTCACAATCTCTAGAGTTCATGTTCTTTTTTTTTTTTTTTTTTTCTCCTTGGTGTGGTCTTGTGGTGAGAACAGGAAATGCTGCTAGACAGATTCTAAAAGAGCTGTAACTCGGGAGTTCATCTTCTTAATTGGGTTGCTAAAAGTTAGGAAAAAAATTTTAAAGGAATGCTTAGTGTTAATGCAGCAGCTGGTGCCAACTATTCATACAACATCTAAGAACTATGGATATTAGAAGGTCAAAGTCCAAAAGAATGACTAGTCCAAAGTTATATATATGTAACTCATTTAGTGAGATGGGGGATATTTGGTATTTTCTGGATTGTACAGTGACCTTGCCTGATTTTAATGTTCTGTTTCTGTGTTTAACAGGAGAACAACCTGGCTTAGCTGTCAGCATCAGATTAAATTTTAACAACATTGAGCCTTAGCTATGTCAGTTAAACCCTCTAAGGCCAAAGCAAGTGTATTCTCTCATTCCTATGTGTGATGATGAACATCCAGTGTGAAAGCAGTATTCTTAACTCCTGTATATCTTAGTTCTTAAAGAACTTTTGTCCTATTCTACTATCCACTGATGACATTGTCTTTTCCAGGACCAAATCCTTACCCTCTTTTGCTTGCCTTTACTGCACTGATCAGGTGTTACTATGGACATAGTTACAGAGAATTTCCTTGTCTTGGTTCTGGTCTTGTTTCACCATTAAATATGATATATATAGTTTTCTTTGTAGATAACCTTTATCAGATTTGATTAAGTTTCTTTCTGTTCTTAATTTCCTGAGAGTTTTAATTATGAGTCAGTGTTGAATTTTATCAAGTAAATATTCTGTATCTTTTGATCCTTTATATTCCCCTTCTGTTTTATGGTGAATTAAATTCTTTGATTCTTTAAAAAATTTATCTGTTTTGTTGCTTAAAAACAGACATTTATTGTCTCATAGTCTGGAGTCTGGAAATTCTAAATTAAGGCATTGTCAGGGCAGTGCTTCCTATGAAGGTGCTAAGGCAGAGTCTATTCCAGGCCTCTTCCTAGCTTCTGGTAGTTTTTACTTATGGCAGCATGATTCCACTCTTCACATGTCTGTACTTGTCCAGATTCTCAACTTTTCATAAGGATACCAGTCAGATTAGATTAGGGCCCTCCCTAATAACCTTATTTTAACTTGATTATCTTTGTAAAAGTCCTACCCAAATAAGGTCATTCATATCTGAGGTACTGTGGCCTAGGACTCTGATATATATCTTTTTTTGAGTGGGGAGGCTGCACATTTTAGCCAGTAGTAATAATAAATGAATGTGCCAGATATTCGTTCAGTTTAGGCAAAGCTTATCAGTTGGGCACACTGGTGGGAATGAAATAAGGCCAGAATGCTTTACGACATTCTCATGATAGATGTTGGCTTAAATTTTGGATGTGAAGCCAACTTTATTATTATTATTATTATTTTTTTCTTTTTTTTTTTTATTGAACAGTAACTATGTACATTAATGCACTTCTAGGGTACAGTGTGGGGTTTTCACATGCAATCTGAAATACTTCCATCAACTGGTCAACACAGCCTTCATGTCATTTTCTCAGTTATTGCTTTAAAACGTTCACATTCTACTCTTAGAAAGATTCACCTGTACCCCTTATTATTATTATTTTTTAATGAGCTTCACTTGGTCATAATGTATTACCTTTTAAAGAAACACACTTCTAAATAACTACAGATAAAAGAAGAAATCACAATGTAAATTGATAATATATATATTTTTTTGTTTTTGAGACAGAGCCTCAAGCTGTCCCCCTGGGTAGAGTGCCGTGGCATTACAGCTCACAGCAACCCCCAACTCCTGGGCTCAAGTGAGTAGCTGGGACCACAGGCGCCCGGCTATTTTTTGCTTGCAGCCATCATTGTTGTTTGGTGGGTCCAGGCTGGACTCGAATCTGCCACCTTGGGTGTATGTGGCTGGTGCCTTAGCCACTTGAGCCACAGGCACTGAGCCATATTTTTACATAATAATGAAAATATGGTACATTAAAATATGAGATGCAACTAAAGCAGCTCTTAGAGGAAAATTTATAGCTTTATATGCACATATTCCAAAAGAGGAAAGATTGAAAACTAAGGATTAAATTTGAATCACAAGGAAAAAGATGACAAATTAAATTCTTTCAAAAAAAGGAAAAGAAATAAATATTAGAGAAGAAATCACTGAAACTGCAAAGCAGATGTAAAACTGAGAAATCTTACCAAGAGTTCATTCTTTGATAAATAAATAGAATTAATACAATTGTAGCAAAACTTACCAAAAAAAGAGAACACATTACAATATGTTTTTTAACCTTTCTTCTTTACAGCTTTATTGAGATACAATTACATGCATGTAATTCTTCCATTTAAAATGTACAATTCAGTAGTTTTTAGCATATTTACAGTTGTGCAATGTTCACCACAATCAATGTTAGAACACTTTCATCACCCCATAAAGAAATTCTATATCCTTTAGCAATCAACCCCTCATTTCTACCCAAACTCTTTTTTTTTTTTTTTTTGTAGTTTTTGGCCAGGGCTGGGTTTGAACCCACCACCTCTGGTATATGGGGCCAGCACCTTAAGCCTTTGAGCCACAAGTGCCACCCTCCACTCAGACTCTTAAAACCTATCCAGTCAGTCTTGTCTCTATAGATTTGGTCTATTCCGGACATTTCATATAAATAGAATCATTCAGTATGTGACCTTTTGTAACTGGCTTCTTTCACTTAGCATGTTTTTAAGGTTCATTCATGTGTAACATGTATCAATACATTGTTCCTTTCTGCGGTTGAATGATACTCCATTGTGAAGATGTACCACATTTTATTTATCCATTCACCAGTTTCTGGATATTTGGGTTGTTTACCATTTTTGGCCATTATGAATACCACTTCTGTGAGCATTTGTGTATGAGTTTTTATAGCAACACATATATTTTTATTCTTGTTGGGTATATAGCTAGGAGTGGAATTGCTGGGTCGTATGGCACTCTATGTTTAACTTGTTAAAGAATGGCATAACTATTTCCCAAAGCAGCTGCACCATTTTACAATCCCAACAGCTTTTCATGAAGGTTCTAGTTTCTCCACATCTTTACTAACATTTATTGTTCTCTTTGATTATAGCTATCCTAATAGAGCTGTGTGAAATGTTACCTCAGAGTGGTTTTGATATGCATTTCACTGATGACTGGGAACGTTTTATTACTTATGTATTATTGGCTTCTTGGCCTTTTTGTGGAAATGTCTATTGAAGTCCTTTGCTCATTTTAAAACTGGGTTATTTAATTTAATTTAATTGATCGAATTGTAACTTTTCAAATGCAAATATCTTATCCAATATGATTTGCAAATATTTTCTCTCACTGTGAGTTGTTTTCATTTTCTTTTGATCTGTTAGTTAATACATGTTTACAGTCTGTCAGTTTAGATGTGCCTGGTTGCAAATATTATCTTTATACTTTTAGTTTTCTTTTTCATTTTCTTCTTCTTCTTTTTTTTTTTGGAAACAAGGTCTCACTGTCTAGAGCACAATGGCATGATCGTATCACACTGTAGCCTCAAACTCCTGGCCTCAAGCATTTCTCCTGCCTTGGCCTCCCAAAGTGCTAGGTACAGGTGTGAACCACTGTACCTGGCCAAAAATTAGTCTCTTGATTCCAAATATTTGCTGGTTGATTTTTCTAACAAATCTGTTTGATTTGTCGCCATTATTAAATTTGTATTGCATATATGCAGTAAATGTGAACATTAATACACAGCAAGAATTATCAAGTTTTTTTGTTTTTTTTTTTCTTTTTTGAGACAGAGCCTCAAGCTGTCACTCTGGATAGAGTGCTGTGGCATCACAGCTCCCAGCAACCTCCAACTCCTGGGCTCAAGCGATTCTCCCACCTCCACCTCCCAAGTAGCTGGGACTACAGGCGCCTGCCACAATGCCTGGCTATTTTTTGATTGCAGCCATCATTGTTGTGTGGTGGCCCTGGCCTGGGTTTGAACCTACCAGCTCAGGTCTATGTGGCTGGCACCTTAGCCGCTTGAGCCACAGTGCCCAGCCAAGGGTTTTTTTTTCTTTTAAGATTAATTTGAGAGTATAAAGAATTAGGTTACAATGTTTGCATTTGTTAGGTATAGTCCCTGTTGTATTTATGTACCCCCAGAAGGTGTGCCTTATATCCCCATATTGTGCACATTAAGTGGGAGCACATCCATTCCCTCCTCACCTTTCCTCAACTTTCCCCACTTCCTCCTTCCTCTCCCCCAGATTATTAGTTTTCTACATGTCTTTATTTAAAACTTATGTGGTAACCTAATTGTCTGTATCCTCATATTAATCTGAAATAAAAATGAAACAAAACAAAAAAAGAACCCCAAAGATAACAATGAGTAAAGAGATTCCTAATGAAATGTCTATCAAAAAATTATATGAAGTATGCTACTTATTTCTCTTAGAAGATCAATTTGCTATAAGTTAACAGGTAGTTTCTGTTTTAATTGTTAAACTCTCTTTCTCTCTCTTTTTAAAGATTCACAATGGATAGTATAGAAGAACCTCAGAAAAAAATCTTTAAAGCTCGAAAAACAATGAGAGTAAGTGATCGTCAACAACTTGAAGCCGTGTACAAGGTCAAAGAAGACCTTTTGAAAACAGATGTCAAGCTGTTAAATGGCAACCATGAAAATGGAGATTTGGACCCAGCCTCACCTTTGGAAAATATGGACTGTATTAAAGACAAGGAAGAGGTAAATGGCATTGAAGAGATTTGTTTTGACCCTGAAGATGGTAAAACAGAATGGAAAGAAACATCCTGTATCCTAAATGTTAATGCAAAAAACAAGCAGGAAGACAATTTAAATTGTGAACCCTCATCTCCTAATAATGAAACTCCTGAACCAGTGTCTAACCTGACTGCTGAAGTAGCTTCTGGCGATCCAGCTCCTGGTGATCTGGCCACTGGAGATCTAGCCTCTGGAGTACTAGTCTCTGATGATCTCATGTCTGGTGATCTAACCTCTAGTGATTGCTCTTCTGGTGATCCCACCTCTGGTGATCACTCTACTGGTGATCCCACCTCTGGTGATTCCTTCTCCGGTGACACTGCCTCTGGTGATGCTGCTTCTGGTGATTCTGCCTCTGGTGATGCCGCCTCTGGTGATGCCACCTCTGGTGATGCCACCTTTGATGATGCCACCTCTGGTGAACTCATCTCTGGTGAACCAGTCTCTAGTGATTGTGCCTGTGATGATATGGCCTCTGGTGATCCAGCACCTGGATCATTGGCCTCTGTTGATCAGGGGTCTAGAGTACCAGCCCCTGGTGATTCAGCCTCTGGTAATCCGACCTCTGGTGACCTGGCTTCTGATGATCCGGCCTCTGGTGATCTGGCTCCTGGTGATCTGGCCTCTGGTGATCCGACCTCTAGTGATCTGGCTTCTGGTGATCCGGCCTCTGGTGATCTGGCCTCTGGTGATCTGGCCTCTAGTGATACTGCCTCTAATGATCTGGCTACTGGTGAAATGACTTCTGAATCGGCCTTTCATCCTACCCTTGAAAAGAGTTCTGTGTCAGCTTGTGAACCAGTTCCTGAAACTGTCAGTATAGAACCAAGTAGCAATAAAGATGATGATTTTATTGAAAAAAATGGACACGATGAAAAATTAGAGCAAGTTCAAACTAAGGACTCAACTGATGAAAATAGTAATGTTGATGCTAGTGAAGAAACTCCAGAAACAGATGATACAATTATTTGTTCAGATCTGCCTCCTGAAAAAGAAAAGAAGGTAGAAGAAGATACTATTACAGAGCTCGCTCTTGGAGAAGAGGCCATATCAAGCAGTATGGAAGTTAATCAAGGCGAAAAGAATGAAGATGAAAATTCTGCAGACCTTGTAGAAACCGTTAGTGAAAGTGTTACAAAAGATGGCAAAAGTGAGAATATCTTAGAAAATACAGATTCTATGGAAACAGATGAAATCATTCCTATTTTGGAAAAGCTTGCACCTGCTGAGGATGAACTTACTTGCTTTTCCAAAACTTCTCTCCTTCCAATTGATGAGACAAATCCAGATTTGGAAGAGAAAATGGAAGGTTCTTTTGGTTCACCATCTAAACAAGAAAGTAGTGAGAGTTTGCCAAAAGAAGCCTTTTTGGTCCTCTCTGATGAAGAGGATGTTTCAGGTGAAAAAGATGAGTCTGAAGTTATATCACAGCATGAGACATGCTCTCCAGGTTAGCATATTGTTTAAATTTTAAATATTTTTATTAACTTTAATGAATTGTCTTAATAAAACATTATTACAAAGTTTTAAATGTAGTTGTAGAGAAAGTTGAGAATGTTGGTGACTGTACAAAAGGATCTAATTTCATAGATTCTTAATATAATTCAGAATTAAAAAATACCTATTCTGTGAGCAGCATGTGCTAAGTGCTAAAAAGGGAGATAAAATAAGTAGAAAATATGTCCCTTATAGTCTGGTAACAGAGATAAAAATGGACCTCCATAATGCTGAATTAGCTAAGTCAGAGTCCTAGTGTTGTTCTTTGTTGAGGTCAGTTAGTGACCAAATAATTTAAAATCTAAAAGCCAGCTACTTTATTTGTTTCAAGTGTAACAAATTGTATTTTCAATTAATTTTCTAGTGAAATCTTACTCTTTAATATTCGATGTCCAGGGAATGACACCACCATATTTGAAAGACACATACCTTAAAGCTTGATTATCTATTCAATAAAGATTTTGCCCATTTGCTTTCTCAGTCCTTTTGATTCTACCTAACCTGCTTTCTTCCTACTCATCTTCCAGATGATCTCCCTATAACTCAGTTCTTTTACTTGATTGTCCCTCTCTTTTAGATCCTTGTTACTTTTAGGTTAATTCCAGACTCCTTATATAAAACATTTATAAACTGAATGATTTGTTTAATACTTAAACTGTCCCCATATCTTTGATTATTCTAAAGAAGAGAATGAGAAAAATTCTTTGCTTTCATGGTCATACTCAAAAACATTATTTCTGCCCCAAACCTTCTCAATCTTCCTCAGACTGACCTGAGTACCTTTCTGTTCCCATTGTATCACATTGTCTCGAATTTAGACATCTGTGAGAAGAGTTTCCTTGCTAATATAAAACACTGCATGTATTTTCTACTTTGCTGAAAGATTGAAAAAACAAAGGGAAGCAAAGCCAGGAGAAAGAAAAATTCCTTCCCCAATATTGTCACACCAGCTTTTGGAGGTAGAAATTTTTTTTTTTCTTTTTTTTGAGACAGAGTCTCACTTTGTTGCCCTTGATAGAGTGTTGTGGCGTCACACCTCACAGCAACCTCCAGCTCTTGGGCTTAGGCGATTCTCTTACCTCAGCTTCCACAGGCGCCCACCACAATGCCCAGCTATTTTTTGGTTGCAGTTTGGCCAGGGCCAGGTTCAAACCTGCCACCCTCGGTATATGGGGCCGACGCCCTACTCACTGAGCCACAGGCGCTGCCCAGAAATTTTTTTTGTTTCAATTAAGTGATGACATTTTATTTCTAAAGAACATTCAACCAAACTTATATAGAGAGACAGTTCAGGCCTTTCTTGGTTCTAGGGATTTGAAAATAGAATTTAATACTTGTTCTTAGGATGCACACAAAAATTAAAAATCACAGGTCATTAAATACAAAGCTATGAATACAAATGATAATGTTAAATTGGTGCTTTGGCAGAGGAGAGAAAGGTATCTTTAAGAGAGCACAGGATGTATTCAAGAAAGCCTTGCCTTTTAATATTTGTAAAGCTTAGGCTTTTAACGAGTCTAATTTCCTTGTGGTAGTAGCTCCATCCTGATTGCTTAGGCCAGAAACTTTAGAATCATTCTTTGTACTTTTCCTAGCCACTAGAACACCAGGGAGGAATCATTATTATTTTTTCTTTCCTTTTGGTACTATCTTCAGAATAGATTTAGAATTTATGTATTTAATTAATTAATTTATTTTTTGGTAGAGACAGAGTCTGATTTTATCACTCTCGGTAGAGTACTGTGGTGTCACACTGCTCACAGCAACCTCCGACTTCTAGACTTAGGCGTTTCTCTTGCCTCAGCCTCCCAAGTAGCTGGGACTGCAGGCGCGCGCCACAATGCCCTGCTACTTTTTTTTTTTTTTGGTTGTTGCAGTTTGGCTGGGGCCAGTTCAAACCTGCCACCCTCAGTATATGGGGCCAGCACCCTACTCACTGAGCCACAGGGGCCACACAGATCTAGAATTTAATTCATAACTGTTACCACCCTTGCTCTGAGCCACCATCATAAGGTCAAAACAGTAGATGGCATGCAACATATGTGCCTGGTAAGCATTTGTAACTTGAATGAATAGTTGATGATGTAAGAGAAGTATATAATTGGGGACTGGGTTACAATGCCAAAGCATTATGCTGGCACTAGCGAGCCACTGAAAGATTTCAAGCAGAGGAGAGTATGATGGCATTTACATTTTGAAAAGATAATAGGTAATTGTGTAGGGTGGACGTCACTCATTGATTCAATAAATATTTGGAAAGTTAATAGGTTTAGGGTGAACTTCACTGCAAATTTTTATGTAGAATATGGCACTGGAGCAAGCCTTATTATGGTCCTCTGTATGGGAAAATCATAACAAATTGCAGCTTATGATTTAATGAGTTTACACAGTTTACCTTTGTGTCAGAACCTTGCTATTGAAGACCATCCCACACTGTGCTATTAAGTACAGAAAGATGAATATTAAGCCATCCTTGTTATATACTTTGATAATTCAAAGTTGGGATTATTTTTGGTTACTTGCCTTTAGTTTAATCTGATCGTATACTGTTAGCACAGTAAATTTGATGATAGATTTGATTTCTCAGCTGGTAACTAAAGTTTTATTTTGAATCTTTTTCTCCTCGGAAGAAAATTTTGTGTACTGAGGTTTTGATAATGATTTCTTGGTTCTTAAACTGTACTTACTTTATTCTCTTTATATGATAGCAGAGTCTGTTGCATGTCTTTTGTTGCTGTGCATTTAATAAGGTATTGCTTTAATCAGTTTTTTTATTCTTGACTTTTTGGGAGGCAGAGTCTCTTTTCCTGAGGCTGTAATGCAGTGGCTTCATCATAGCTCACTGCAGCCTTGACTCCTGAGCTTAAGTGATTCTACTGCCTCAGTCGCCAGAGTAGCTGGGACTATAGGCATGTGCCACCAGGCTGGATAATTTTTTTACTTTGTGGAAGAGATGGGTCTCACTCATGCTTAGGCTGATCTCAAACTCCTGGCCTCAAGTGATCTTCCTGCTTTGGCCTCCCAAGTGCTAAGATTACAGGCATGAACCACTGAGCCTATCTTGACCAATTTGTAATGTCCTCAGAACATGGTATTTATTACTAGCTGAAGTACTTAAGTCTGGTTTCAGTCCTGGCTCTTCTAACTGCTAAACATTTATGTGCGTTCTAATAGAAAAACATCAAAAACCTATTTTTCAGGCGCTTACTAAGCAAATTTATTTTACATGTAGCAAGTTATGATATGTACGAGCAACAACATGAAGTAATGAAAGGTACTACATATCAGACAAGTAACAACAGAAAGTAATGATAGATACTACATATCAGAAAGCAAATAGAAAAGCAATTTTAATTTTACGAAAGTAAGAAAGAACTAAAAAAAGTATATTTTAATAGGACTGAAGACACAATTGAATTGTGGCATAGTAATATATAATAACTGATATTCACTAAATGATTAAAATCATAGTCTGTTTAAGAAAGCTAGCAAAATAAGGATTTCTCTCTCTGGGAAAGTTCAGACAGTACTAGGAAGAGGTAGTACATCTATTAGTCATAACTTCCGTGTACTCACCATACCATACAGTTTCCTATAGCTACTCTTCCAGAACCCTTCTTCAAGTTATAGTAACAAAGCTAGCACAATTTCTTCTATTAACCCTTCAACTTAATTAGATTCTGATATCTCCCTTGCCATTGTCCCTCCACCTCCACCCCAGTTGTTCTCAGTGAAGTGACATTTCAGATGCTAATGTTGCTAAATCCAGGTAATCTTTTCTTTGTCCTACCTATTCTCTCATACTTGGAAGGCCTCTTAGTAATCATCCCTTCCTCTTGATATTCTCCTTCCTTTTGAGCTATAGCATTCTACATTTCCCTCTTTTATTTTCCCTCTACTTTTCATTTTATTTCTTATGGAGAAATGGGGATAGACTTCCTCTACTTGCTTTTATAAAAATATCACTTTTTAAAATAAGATTGAGGAGGAAAATGTTTTTAGAGTAAATCAGATTTTACATTAAACTCTGAAACAAATTCCTATGGATTTTATTTCGGGTTTAAAAAAAATCTGTGGTTGATTTTTTTTGGGGGGTCCCATTCATTGAATCTTTAAGATAAAATAGGATGAAGATGAAAATAAGGCTAATAAAGATAATTCCATGGGAGTAGAATTCAAGATTTCCTTTCCTTCTGCTTTAGGCTAGTAGTGGTAGAATTGGCTTGATTTACTCAATTAAAAGTTACTAACAACTTGTTGTCGCTTTATTATATTCAGCTAAAATTCTCTGTCATCTCAACTCATTTATATTTAGCTGTTACTTAGGCTTCTCTTGCTCCTTAGGCTTCTCTTGCTAAGATATATGTATACACTGGTGCAGATTTTTCTTTTTAGAGTTACAGGAGACCAAAGATCAAGCAGGTTTTGGAAGGAGGAATATAGGAGAAAGGTAAGTTTCAAATGACTGCTAATAGCCCAAGTTAGATCTGTAACTCTGAATTTCATAGCTGTGACTTGAATTATATAGAAATATTTAAGAGTAGGTAGCACACAGACATTAGTTGAAGTCAAGTGACTAGATGAAATCACCTCAGACAGAAGAAGTACATTGGAGAAGAGAAAAAAATACTGTTGGCATTCCATATATTTGTAGGTTGAGGAGATAAGAAAGAACCATCAATGAAGACTAAGAATAGCCATTGAGATAGGAAGAAAACCAAGACATTTTGGTATTCCAGAAGCCAAATAATGAGACTGTTTTGAGGAAGGAGTAATGAACTGTTCACTGTTGCTATGTAATTGAGTAAGGCAGAAGAGAAATTTTTGACAATCTAGAAATGTGGATAACTTGGATAAGAGGCAGTTTTGGTGAATGATAGGATCGGAAAGCCTGATTTCCATTCCATCACATCTATAATCCTAACACTCTGGGAGGCCAAGATTGCTTTAGCTAAGGAATTCCAGACCAGCCTGAGGAAGAGTAAGACCCTATCTCTACTAAAAATAAGAAAAACTAGCCAGGCATAGTGGTGGGTGCCTGTAGCCTCACCTACAGGAGGTTGGGGCAAAAGGATCTCTTAAGCCCAAGAGTTTGACATTGCTGTGAGCTATAACGCATGACACACTATTTAAGGAGACAGAGTGAGGCTGTGTCTCAAACACAGACACACACACACACACACACACACACACACACAGAGAGAGAGAGAAAAGCCTGATTTTGGATTTCAGAGAGAATGGGGGGAGAATTCGAAATAATAAAATGTAACTTTTTTCTCTGAGTTTTGTTTGAACAACTAGCCCAATAATTTACATGGAAGATATTATTTGCAGCTTTGTATTGGTTAAATAACACTTAAAGAAATTTCTGCAAGAATCACATTGCCAGTCATGATGCCACATTTTTTTGATTTGTCTGTGAGGTTGAGAATCTTTATGGGTTTACTGGTCTATTGTAATCTCATTTCTATGAATTTCCTTTTCATATCTTTTGCCCATTTTTCTTTTCTTTTTTTTGAGACAGAGTTTTACTGTGTCACCCTCAGTAAAGTGCTATGACATCACAGCTCACAGCAACTTCAAACTCTTGAGCTTAAGGGAGTCTCTTGCCTTAGCCTCCCAAGTAGCTGTGACTACAGGTACCTGCCAAAACGCCTGGCTGTTTTTTGATTGCAGTTGTCATTGTTGTTTAGCTGACCCAGGCTGGGTTTGAACCCGCCAGACTTGGTGTATGTGGGCGGCGCCCTACCCATTGATCTATGGGTGCCACCTTTGGCCCATTTTTCTAATGGATATGTTGTTTTTAATTAGTCTTAGGGATTTGTTTTGTTTTAAATATTTTCTTTGACAGAGTCTCACTGTTTTGCCCTCGGTACAGTGCTGTGGTATCACTACTCACAACAACCTCAAACTCTTGGGCTTAAGTGATTATCTTGCCTCAGCCTCCTGAGTAGCTGGGACTACGGGCGCCTGCCACAACACCCACCTATTTTTTGTTGCAGTTGTCATTGTTGTTGAGCAGGCCCGGGCTAGGTTTGAACCTGTCAGCTCCAGTGTATGTGGCCGGTACCCTAATCACTGAGGTACAGGCACCGAGCCTGTTTGAAATATTTTCATGGAATCAGTAATCTGAGGCAAACTATGGGCCTGTGGGCTCCATTTGTTTAAGTAAGTAAAGTTTAATTAGAACATAACCATGATCATTTGTTTAATTACTACATGTTGTTTATTGCTAATTGCTTCTACAAGTATAGAATTAAGTAGTAGCCTACTGAAAATACTTATTTTTTTTGCCATTTACAAAAAAAGTATTCTAACCCCTAACATAAGGCAACACTTTTTGTCTATATTTGCTTGGGATAAAGTTCTACAAGGTTTAATTATGAAAATAAAGAACTTATAAGTTTAATAATACAAATTCTGTCTTGTAGTCCTTTACAATTATACTTTTCTACCTTTACTTAATGCTATCTTATTAAGGATAATAGGTCTCGCTCATCTCTTCTAATTCAGGAGGGATACACTTTCAACTCTCTTTGGAAGTGCTCTAAATTTTCTCTTTGTACTTAAACAAAACCTCTCTTTGTTAAAGCTTAAAAAAAAAGGAGGCAGTCATCATGAGCTAGGTATTGAACATCTAATTTGCATCAGTTATTTCTCAAAGTTTTTAGGGTTTCTAAAATTATAATATCTGACACCTGCCCCTTACGTTAAAAAGAATAGTGTGGTTGAAAGGAAAAAACATACAGAACTATGAAAACTTGTCAACTTGTGATGAGGCTATATTCAAAAAGACCAGAGAAATTATAACAGAAACTTATCTGTGAATAAGGACAGATTCTAGAAAAGACATTCTTAACCTAAGTATTTGGATGAGTTTCAAGAGTCCTAAGCACTACCTGAAATTATATATATAAAATTGTTTGTGTATGAGGACCTTTGATTATGCTGGGTAGAAGGGGGCGCACTCTCAGATTCTCTAGAGGCTTTATGGGTGAAAAAATGAAAGAAATATAGGGCTTCATCCTTCTTGGTAGAATCCATTAATACCATTTTTCTTACCCCAAGTTCTTTCTATTACATAAAACTCTAGCATCAATTTAAATTCTGTGAATCTATTCTAAAATCCCATGAGTGTTTTTGTTTAGGTATTGAGAATCTAGTAGTATCTTCTCGGTATATCTAGATAATAGAAATTGGGTGATAGGAATTTTTGAGTAAAATGAAGGAATTTCAAGCTAAACTTGACAAATCTATAAGAAAATAGGGAACTAACATATGCCTGAAAGAGGTAAATCAAACCAGGCCAATTTACTATGTTCTGGGTGCTATGGCTTGCAGTTAGTTACCCTAATTGGAGCCAAGGCTAATTTTGTGCTTTGGGTGAAGTGAGAATTTGCTTAATAAAAGACTATGTAAACCTTTTATCTCAAGTAACCCAATTACTCTATTACTCTGTGTCTCTGGAAGCTCTGGGGACTAGGAAGCTCAGGAATCATGAACTGTCAGTGTTGAAATCAGGATGATACAGAAAAAAATATAGAGAAAAAATTGTATTGAGTGTGTGGTCTATCTACATGAAAGCAAAACACATTTTTATATCATTGGAAGTTGGGTTGAGAGATGAAATCTTATTAAAGGTCTATAATGAGCAAATAGTAGTAAATGGAAAGTTAATTTCTAATAATTATTTTAAAGTTCGAAAATAGTTTTGGTAATTTTTATGTACTGTTAGCTTTTTTGTTTTATCTTAGTGTGAATAAAATAATAGAACCTTACTAGGTGCATCAGTTATCCTGGTCTCTACCTATTTTCACCTGAAAGGTCTTTAAAAAATTTTTTTTAACCTTGACTTCTGTTATCAGGACTCTTGTCATTAAAACTTTGATTGTTTAGAGAAGAAATGTCATATCAAAGTCCTTATATAGTACAATATACCTTATTAAAAGAAGTCTAAACTTAATATTAATTTATTAAAGCCCAATTGTCTCCCATTTAATGATTAAGTTAGTTGAGGAGACAAATTGATGAACCAAAGGCCATTCCTGGTACCTCTGGATTTTAGTTGTTACAATATTAGCTGTCCTTTTTGGTAGCATTCTTTGTTACATACTATGTGCTTCTTGTGAAAATTACTTAACCTTTGTAAATGTTACTTTCCACATCTGTATTATGGCAAAAAATACTGTCTATAATATAGGATTATATTGAGGCTGTGAAGTTATAATGTCAAGTTTCTAGTTCAGTTATTAGCACTATTATTGTTAAGTAAAGTTTTTATTATATCTAGAATAGCTTTTCCATTCCTTATTTATGGAGTTGCCCAGTCAACTTGTCTGGTTAAAATAATAGGTATTTTGAATTTGCAAATACTTGGAATTTTTTTTTTTATAATTGTCACAGCCACTATTTCAGTTTTAGTACTTGAGTGTAAAGGAATCTAAATGCGTTCTCATTTTATTAATCTTATTAGTGACAGAAAATTACTAAGAAGATTCCTTATTTTAAAATCTATACTCTTTTTTCATGTTGAATTTATTACAAATTGTGGAATAGTTAAATGTGGACTTGGTCATTCATTTCTACCAATTTCTGCTTCTATTCCCCCCAATTTTACATTTTGGGACTCTCATTTCATGAAAGATTAGTTTAATAGCTGGATAGTGACCAAAAATGTAAATTAACGCGCTATTATGAATCCTAGTCAAGTAAGATTCCTTTTTTTCTATTTGTTATAGGAGTAGAAAGTAATGAAAAGGACGGCAAACCTGAGGAAGAAGAGCAAGTAATACATGAAGAAGATGAAAGACCTTCTGAGAAAAGTATGCATATACAAGCAAACTTGAACTAGTTTGAAAAATAATAATTTGGGCTTGGTGCCTGTGGCTCAAGCGGCTAAGGCGCCAGCCACATACACCTAAGGTGGCGGGTTCAAATCCCCAGCCCGGGCCCGCCAAACAACAATGATGGCTGCAACCAAAAAATGGCCAGGCGTTGTGGTGGGCGCCTGTATTCCCAGCTACTTGGGAGGCTGAGGCAGGAGACTCGCTTGAGCCCAGGAGTTGGAGATTGCTGTGAGCTATGATGCCATGGCACTTTCCCCAGGGGGATAGCTTGAGGCTCCATCTCAAAAAAAAAAAAAAAAAAAGAAAAATAATAATTTCTTATTTCTGTATTTAAGACCATGGAATATCCTTTTCTGCCGATGAAATGATTGTAAACTTTTGCAGTTTGAGTAAGTCACAGTCAAATCATTTTGTTGATGGCTAACTCAGAAATCTCTGAAATTATTAATTCATACACTTCTATTTTTTTTATTTATGTTTTTTAATGTTCCATAAGAAAGATTTAGCTTAAAATATAATGAGGTACTAAATGCCTGGAGACATTGTTTTATATTTATGTTTAGACTGGGACTACAAGAATTTTGTCTGGGCTGATATAAGTGAATTAGAAGTAATGTATTTTAATATACTTAAGCTTTCATGGGAAGGGAAAATGATAGACTAAGTGTTACTGGTTTATAGAAAGATTGGACTAGAAGTCAGGAAACTTTGGGTTTTGTAATTCTTTCTGTCATGCTCCTTTCCATATATGACCATGGATGGGTAATTTATGATTATATAAGAGAAATTGTAGAATAGAACTAGATTTAATAAAATAGGCACATAGATAGGGATACAGAGTGAAATAGAGAGGGGTACTAATAGTCACATAACGGCATTTGCCTTTAAAAAGTGTGGAGATTGGGCGGTGCCTGTGTTCTCAGTGAGTAGGGCACTGGCCCCATATACTGAGGATGGCAGCTTCAAATCCAGCCCCAGCCAAAATGCAATAAAAAATAGCCAGGCGTTGTGGCGGGTGCCTATAGTTCCAGCTACTTAGGAGGCTGAAGCAGGAGAATCGCCTAAGCCCAAGAACTGGAGGTTGCTGTGAGCTGTGTGATGGTTGCTGTGAGCTGTGTGATGCCAGGCACTCTACTGAGGGCCATAAAGTGAGACTCTGTCTCAAAAAAAAAAAAAAGTGTGGAGATTTTAGTATTTTAATTATTTTAGATATTGAAAAAATACCAGTGATTGAATATTAATAATATTTGAAATAGAATTATTCTAAGGGAAAGTCTTTGAATATACATTCAGATTTTATATATACATTCACAGACCTTCCCTTAGAATAATTCTATTTCAAGTTTTATCTA